ACTCCTGTAATTATCGTTACGTTATCCATAAAGTTAAGTGTAAAAACAAAGTTACAGAAACCCACTGTGTATTTGTGCCGATGTGAGAAGATTCCACAGTTTTCTGCCTTGCAAATTCTTTATATTATTCACAAAAAACTTCGCTGGAAAATCAAACACAGATACAGAAAATCACATAAAAATGAACATACAGCTTAATGAATCACTACAAGGCATATATTAATATTTAATTTAATACTTACTTTAACATTTTATTAACATTTGATTTAATATTGACATAATATCTTAACATTTAGAGTATTAATATTTAATTATAAGGCATATATTAGCAAATCATTGTAACACCCTTGTACCTGCCACCCAGGTCAAAAAATAAAATTTTCCCTTCATGTGCCATCATATGAGCCCATCATATGATTCTCTCTCAAGTAACCAGTAAAATAATCTCTTACTTGTGTTTCTTCATACAGTTGACCCTTAAAACAACACGGGTTGGAGCACCGGCCCTTGTTGGATCAAAAATTTGCGTAAAAATTTTGATTCCCCTCAGACTTAACTACTAATAGCCTACTGTTGACTGGAAGCCTTATCAGTAACATAACAGTCTATTAACACATACTTTGTATGGTATATATGTTATATACTGTATTCTTACAATAAAGTAAGCTAGAGAAAAGAAAGTGTTAATAAGGAAATCATAAGGAAGAGAAAATACATTTGTAGTACATATATGTCTTTATTGAAAAAAGTCCACATATAAGTGGACCTGTGCAGTTCAAAAGTGTGTTTTACCCAAGTAAATACCCTGGGAGTCTACAGTTCTTCATTTGAAATTTTTGATATAATTCTTAGTCTGAAAATCTTCAAGTTTCCCCTTGGTCTCTTTCTCAGCCTTACAATTTATCTGTGGAAAAACCTAAGTCCCTTGACTTGTGAAATTTCCTACAGTCTGGATGTTGCTGACAACACACTCGTGGTGTGGTTCAGTATGTTCTGGATTTCCTCCCTTTCGGCAGCTGGATCAAGTTGAGGCCCAATGAGACTTAGATGAGGTTCATCCCTTTGGCAAGACCATAGGTGGACATGTGATCTCGAATCAGGAGGCACAAGTGTCTCATTGACTCCCTTTTGTTATGTTAGCAAAGGATAAGTGAAGCACTGATGCTTAAAGCCTAAATCCAATAATTCATTGAGAGTGGCCAACATGGTAATATTCTGTCGCTTCTTTTTATATTCTGTCACTTCTTTTTCATTTATTAGTTGTAATACTTTCATAAAGAGATGTCTACCTTCGTTTACCATTTGGTTACCCAGCAGTACAATCCATGTAGGAAAGGCAGGAAAAAATGCTTGATTCTTTCCCATTATGTACCAGTTTTTCAAGATAAAAGATTGGTCTCCTAATATTTTCCAAATGTGATGACTTAAGTTTAAAAAAATGTGTATAAAATTATGAATTTATGGATTTAAACTATTTCAATCCCTTGGTATACTGAAGCATAAATTGCCCCATCTTTGGTGAGTGAATGCCTCTTCTAATTGGCTCCTGCATCCTTTTTATGAGACCACGGGTCTTCCATAGCTTCGTTGTGATCTGATATGACAAGATGATACTTCAAGGGTCAATTCCTGTACATTGTACATTTCCTGCCCCAAACTAGAATCAGCCATTTCTTCAGGAAGCCTTGGCTTCTTTTAGTGGGAAATGGTGTTTCAAAATAATAATTGGTACAAAAGATGCTCATGCTCATAGCTACTGTGCTGGTCATTGCTTTGTTTCTGGGCCAATTCAGTGGAGATAATATAATATAATATAATATAATATAATATAATATAATTAATGTAATATAAATATCCCATGAATTTATGCTGATACTTCAAATTCAAATTCAGGACTACAAAGTTTTTACTTAGCCTCTTTTTTTTTTTTAATTCAGAAGAGATTTATTGAATTCACATGAAAGAATAAATGTAAAAACAAAGCAGTTTCTTTACTTAACCTCTTCTATCTGCCACCTGTATACCCATTCTTCGAAGTGGAGACTATGATTCTCAAAATCCAAATGGATAATAGAATTAGAATGTTCAAACTTACTCACTTGCTTTATCCTATATTACTGATACAATAATCTCAAAGCATCAATATTACTACTGCCAATATGATTACTGCCAATATGATTACTGAAAACAGTTTTTAAAAAAAGCATTTTTTGGGGGTACAATCCCTCACCCTATTCTTGCACCATTGAAAAAACCAGCTGTATTATATTTACATACAGAGCATATGGCCAATACAGATTATACTTCCTCTTTTTTAACTATCATTTGGACCTAATTCCACAAGTAACTATGCATTTGGTGATCACCACTAGTCCATCTCAATGTCTCTCCAGCAAAGGCTCAGGTTCACATTCTCTGTAAAAAGAGGAGGAATATGACCAACTGCGTCTGTGTCGATATGGATTACAAATAGTAGATAACATTTCATAATGCCTACTTAATAAAATGCAACCTGCAAACTCTGTGCACTTGCTTGCACATATGGGTTGGAGAATTTCTCATTTATGACCCACTATCCAAACTTTGTAATTGGTGGCGGTGGTGATGAGGACCGTAGGAGGGAAAGAGGAGGCTGGACCTTCTCCCTCCTGTTCCTTAGACTGGGTTGCTTGACTGCAGCACTGTTGACATTTTGGGGCCAGAGAATTCTTTGTTGTGGGGGCTGTCCTGCGCCTTGTAGGATGTTTAGCTGCATCCCTGGCCTCTACCCACTAGATGCGAGTAACACCATCCCCGCCTCCGCCACATTGTGACAACCAGAAATGTTGCCAAACATTGCCAAATGTCCCCTGGAGGGTAAAATCACCCCTTAGTGAGGACCACTACCCTAGAAATTGCTGTTTCCACCCTCATGATTGAGCACACTGTAATTTTAAGCAGTTAACCCCTGAGTGAAAGGGACTTGTTGTAAGGTACGAAGTCCAGACTAATGCTGTCTCATCTTTAAGCAATATTAAGATTCTTTGAAAGGAAAATTTGTGGCTGAGAGCTAAATTTTGTATAGCATAACATTCATACAATTCATAAAACACATTTCACTTAACACTGTTTAGTGGACTCAGTAGAAATTATTCTTATTTTATGGTTGAAAAAGTGAGCCCCCCAATGGCGGAGCATCTTGTTTGAGATCAGAATAGAAGCAGCTGAATAAATGACATATTCTTGATCAAGCTCTCATCTTCATTGATTGTGTCTTGAATCATTTCTATCTTTGATACACAAGGAGAAATACACACAGACCCACATATGTTTCTACATACACTTCTTTTTGTTGCTGACTGTATGGAATGTTTCTTAAATTTTCCATTTTTTCTTCAGAAAGAAACCAGGAATCTGCCATTGGACGCTTATGATGTTATTGCATATATTTCCACCAGGTGTCGCCATAGTACATTTACACGTGTTTCTTCCCTTGGTGAATTTCCAAATTTACTAAATTCTCCAAGCATTGGTATTTCAGCTAATTTTAAATAAGTGTATCATGCAACTTGAGACAGCCCAGAGAGCATAATGAGGATCAAAACGCTGAAGAAGGAGATGTTGTATGAGAAGACCAGTGAAAGGGGAACCACGGTGAGAGGGGTTTTTTCCTACGTTGCAGTTGACTTCCAGGTCATGCTTGACCTTCATTGCTGTAATTCTTTTTAGAAAGAAGGCTGCTATGGACTGAACGTTTGTGTCTCCTCCAAGTTCACTTGACGCCCTAATCCTCAATGGTGGTATTTGGGGATGGGCCCTTAAGGAGGTAGTTAGGTTTAGATGCGGTCATGAGAGTGGAGGTCTTGTAATGAGACTGATGTCTTTATAAAAAGAGGAAGAGACTGGAAATATTCTCCTCTCTCTCTCTCCCTCTCTCTGCCTTGTGAGGATACAGCAAGGAGGCAGTCATCTGTAAGAGAGCACTGTCAAGATCTCTAATTGGCTGGCACCTTGACCTTGAACTTCCCAGCCCCTGAGAAGTACATTTCTGTCGCTTAAGCCACGTAGTCTATGGTATCTTGTTATACCAGCCTGAGCAGATTAGGACAAGTATCCATAATATTTTCCCCATTGTGATTTTCAAATAATGTAGACATATTTTTTTTTCAAAAGGCCCTTTACATATTACTTTTGGATTACCCAATATTTGAGTTTAATTCAGAACAAAGATTGCTGAGATGGAAGGTGGGGGAAGTGTGCTATGGATGCTAAAGAAATGTAAGGCAGTTTCTGCTTTCAAGAACTCACAGTCTGGCTGGGGAGATCAAAATGCCCTTGTGAAAACAAAGTACACAAGGCAACTTAGGATCCAGGACCAAAATGACCTTTCAGATCCTAAGGGCTGTGTCCCAGTCTGGGTGCTGTGGAAGGTACAACGTTTATTTAGAAGTGCCTTTGGGATCAGCATGTAAGAAGGGAGGGGTCAGAAGCAGGATGGGGCAGAGGGAGAAGTCAAGCTGGGGGCATGGACACAGTGACAGCCTTGGGTCACCCCAGGGGAGCTCTGAACTAGAAAGGCCCTTCAGAGATGTCTTGAATTGGACCAAGAGTGCCAGACCTTTATATTCCCGTGTATGCCAGCAGTGTACACCAGAAAAAGGCTGAATATTTCGAAGTGACCACTAAATTGGAATGACATGCCTTGAGTAATCCTGACACTTTTGTACTGGTGAGACAGACGAGTGATCACAGGAACACCGATCGGTCACAGTTCATGGAGCCACAAACATAAGTGACGTGAGAGTAGGCTATTTGACCTTCCAAAGGTCAAGACCAAACCCAAGCCGATTAGCAGATTGGGGCCAGAAAATGAAACCAAAGCCCAACCTCTGTACAGCTCTTGACCTAGAAATCCCGCCTCGAGGAGTCTGTTCTAACTGAGCGGACATGTCAACCGTCTTGCATCCATCCCTGAGGGGACAGCTCCATTTTCCCCTGGGGAGTTTTTGCCTTGACTGGGAGGCTCCCTGTGGCAGAGTCTCACAGCCCAGAGGCCGTGGGACAATGGTGGCCCTTGAAGGGGGATGGGTGAGGACATCACTGGGCCCCCAGTAGGCTATCAGAAGTTGTCATGGGAGGGAGGGAGCTGTGTGGGTAGGATGTAGGGAAAGTTCCTGAGGGCAGTAGGCTCAGCTGGGAGGGAGAAAGAAGGGGACTTCCAGGCTCTCTGTCCTCTCCGTTTCTCTGGACTTGGCCTCATTTTACCCTAGTCCATATAATCTTCCTTTATGAGTCAGAGATATGCCTGAGGTAGCTCTAGCTTTCAGTCATACTAAATCATAAACCCCAAAGAAAGGAAAAGACTTGATCTCCACCCCAGGATGTAAAAATCCCCAGAAAGAGTTCTGACTGCTCTGGCTTGGGGTTCAAGTGGGCACCCATTTTGGGCCAACCATGTCTAGGGTTGGCACTGTAATTGGCAGCTTTCACCAGAACCACATGGTCGAAAGGAGGAGGAAAAGGGGACCCTCCTACATTGTTGGTGGGAATGTAGTTTGGTGCAGCCATCATGGAAAACATTATGGAAGTTCCTTAAAAGCTAAAAATAGAGTTACCGTATGATCCAACAATCCCACTCCTGGGCATATATCCAGAGGAAACTCTAATTTGAAAAACTACGTGTAGCTCAATGTTCATAGCAGTACTATTTACAATAGCCAAGACACGGAAGCAACCTGAATGTCCATCATTGGATGGTGAATGGATAAAGAAGATGAGGTGTATATACACAATGCAAGATTACTCAGCCATAAAAAAGAATGAAATAATGCCATCTGCAGCAACATGGATGGAACTGGAGATGATCATATTAAGTGAAGTAAGTCAAAGACAAATATATGGTATCACTTATATGCCGAATCTAAAAAATGATACAAATGAACTTATTTACAAAACAGAAATAGTCTCGTAGGCAAAGGAAAAAACCTTATGTTACTAAAGGGGAAAGTGGGGGTCGGGGGAGGGATAAATTAGGAGCTTGGGATTAACAGATACATACTACTGTATATAAAATAAACAAACGCCTACTGTAGAGTACAGGAAACTATATTCAATATCTTGTAATAACCTATAATGGAAAAGAATCTGAAGAAAATATGTGTATAACTGAATCACTTGCTGTACACCTTAAATGTACACATTGTAAATTAACTATACTTCAATTAAAAATTGTTAATAACAAAAAAAGAAGCTATTACAATAATTCAGGCAAGGGATGATGGTGGTTTGAACCATCATCATAGGTTCACAGCAGTTGGGGTGAAGAAAAGTGGTTGGATTTTGGACGTGCTTTGAAGGTATAGTTAATGAGATTTGCTAACAAACTGATGTGTGAGGGGGAAAAAAAGAAAACAGTCAAGGATCATAGCAATGACTTTGGTCTAAGCAACTAGAAGAATAAAGTTGCCTTGGACTGAAACGGGAAGCCTGCCAGAGGGCTGGTGAGTGAATTGGGAGCTCAGTTTGGGGCCTATTAAGATGCTTGTTAACATCCAGCTGAGTCTGAAGTAGCAGTTGGATGAGTGGGTATGAAGCTCGGGGGAGAGGTTCAGGCTGAAGATAAAAACTTGAGAATCGTCATCATATACACAGGACTTAAAGCCATCAGATGAAGGGAGATTCCCTCAGAACTGACTAGAGACACGAGACGGGAGATGCAGACATTTAAAGACCATGGATGTGGAAAAGAACCAACGAAAGGACTTAAGACAGGTGGCTAAAAAGTAGGAGGCACGCCAGGACAGTGTGGCATCCTGGATGTCAAGAGAAGAAAGAGATTCAAGGAGAGGACATCAGTTTGCCGATGGGGCTGATAGGTGACTGAACTCACCGGGGAGCCTGAGGACGGCGCAGCAGAGTGGTGGTGGGTGAAAGCCTGGTTGTGGGGGATTCAAGAGGGAAAAGAGGAAAGACACTGGGGGTGGCAGAAGGACAGCATGTTCAGTTCTTTCAAGGAGCTTCGTTGTAAAGGAAGGAAGGGAAATGCGCTAGCACCTGGAGGGGGAAGTGATGGGAGAAATATAGTGTGTTTGCATGTTGATGAGTTGGGTTCACTTGAGAGAGAGAACATGTGGTGGTGCAGCAGAGAGAAGACATGGGCTGGCGCGACTTCCCTGAGCAGGTGAGGGGTGTGGAACCCCATTACATGATGGGGGCTGGGTGGAGTAGGGCGGAGCCCCCCAGCAGTACAGGTAAAGGGGGAAGGCACAGACGCAGACGCGGGGGGACGTGTGTAGGGGTTCTTTTCTGATTGCGTTGATTTTCTTGGTGAAGTAGGAAGCAAAGCTGCTGAGAGGGAGGCTGGAGAGGAGGTGTGGAAGGTGTGGAGAGAGCAGAGGAGGCACGAAACCACCCTCTGGGAGTGGGAGACAGACCTGGCCCGTAAGTACAATAGGTTGGTAAGGCATCACTCAGGTCCCACGTGACTTTATCGCGAATTTAAAGGCTGACCAGAGAGTGATTGTGTGTTTTGCGGGCCCAGAGCAGGTGGAGAGTTAGATTAACCACATTATGGTTTCATTGGAAGGCCTCACATTAAGAGAGGGGCAAAGGAGAAGGCGTAAGCAATGAGTGATGTGGTTAGTTACAGAAGCAGGTGGACAAGGAGAGAGGAGAGGACATGAGGAAGCGGGGTGGGGCTCTAGACTGTAGGCTGGCAGGTCTCAGTGGGGCCCTGGTGTTGTTCAGTTGGGACGTTGACTGAATTAGCAGGGCGGATAGGCTGCGTGGTCTGAGAGTGAGCTACAAACAGGATGCAGCTTTTGGTAATGACAAGGTTAAGGGCACAACTCGGGATGTGGTGAGAGAGGAGCGGGGAGGTGCAGGGCCTGGGAGCCCAGGCCACGCTGACCAGCGCTCCAGCAGGCCAGCTGACCCCTTTGTCCTCCCCAGAGTCTCTAGTACAGGCGACAGCAGCTTTGCTTGGGGAAGCGGCCCAGAGATGACCGTTAGGGTGGGAAAGGGGATGGGAGGGGAGCAGAACAAAAAGTTGTCTGCTTTTTGCATCATAAATCATTTATGATTTTGGCTGCAAGTCTGTATCTTCCACCGGGTATTCATAGGTAGTAGCTGATGATTCTGAGTGAGCTGCTGATCAGCTCAATGAGGCATCTGGGGTGTGTGCAGCTTTGAAGCCGCAGCTGGTTGGAAGCCAGCGCTGGGGAAGGAGACTGTGCCTGGGAAACGAACTTTCACTTAATTTGGTCTCCTGAGGGTTTGCTGGGCTTGTTTCGCACTGGTAACTTGGAGCTGGGGAGCAGAGAGGAGTGTGTCCTGCTCCCTCGTGGGTAGGTGGGGTGGGGCAACCGTGCGTGTGTGCGTGCGCGCGCGCGCGCACATCTTGGCGGGGGAGGGGGCAGGGGTAGAGAGGTATAGCCCCTCCCCCCTGCCCCGTGAGACGAGCTGAGGCGAGCTCCTTGTGTCCACTGGAATCCTCTCTTTGCGTGGCTGTCCGTCCCGGGGACCCGCAGACCTGGGCAGCTCTCACTCTGCCTGGGGTGCGGATGCTGCCTTGTCCTCTTGTCTCCTGCACCATGCAGCCATCTCTGTAAGCTTCTGTGCTCTTTGCTGTGAAAGAAAGTCTCTGTGCACTTACCGTGTTGGTCAGCGTGTCACCATCCCCTGGTCCATCTTCGGGCGGGATCATCATGCAGGCTGTAGTCCATCACGCTGATGAGGGCCCTGATTTACCTGACTTGGTCTAAAGAGGCACTGGATCTTGAGAAGTCACTTAACCTCTCAAGCCTAAGTTTCCGGTCTGTAGGAGTGGTTAATCATTTCTATTTTTCTGTAAAGTTGCGAAGATGATCAAATGAGGTAATTATGAAAGTGCGTTGTAAACTAAAGCTCTAAAAAAAATTACTTGTTAGTATTTTGTTATCTTTGTAGAAATAACAGAAAATGAGGACAAGAAATGCGAGAGGGAGGGAGAGAGAGAGAGCATGAGTTACATCCTGGATGGAAGGAGGCCCTAAATAGTAAGTCGTCGAGGTGCCAGCCATCCTAGCCCAGCTTCCCATAAAAATCAAACCAGGAAGAAATAAAGAAAAGAAGTTAAAGTTCATTGCTGAAAAACCATGTTTTTCTTTTAGCCCCTGTGGGAAAGGGGTTATTATTTTAGTGTGGGAATAGGAATATAATTCAGTTTTTCCCAGTCAGAGTCTTTTGATGTGTTACCATGATTCACAGGCGATGACTCACATATTAGAATTTTCACTAGAATATTACTAATGCTTTATATTCCTTAAAAAGGAGATAAGATGAAGCAGAGGGATTACATAATTATTTTCTTTTCAGCTTACACCTTGGATTTATCTGACATGATAATGTCAGAAAGAAACTTTCTCTCCCTCCTGCAAAGGAGAAAAAACCCTCATTATATTCTTTAGTAATCACATTTGCAGAATGCTTGTTAAAATCAACCTCAGTCCTGTTATCAGCACACTTTGCAGCTTACTATGTAAGAAATTAATTTTTCTAAGGCTAGGAAGAAGGTTAAATTGGTATGGTTCCCCACTGCCCCAAGATTTCTTCATTGTAAATAATTATTTTAAAATATATTTATTATATATTATGAATTATATTTGTCATTTTGAATTACGATTACCAAGTTTAAAAATCCGTAAGTTCATCAAAATGCAATTAAGTGTACACCTTTCCTACCACCCACTCATGTCATCAAAGGAACAATCAAATGTAATACAAGCATCATGCCACCCATAATAAAGCCATTTAAAAACAAATTTCACTTATTCCATTTTACTGAAGACTCAAGCATACCTAATCAAAAATATTCTAATCTGGTAGATTCAAGACCTGCTGATGATTTGAACCTTGTTTAGATTCCATTTAAATGCTGTTGAATGAAAAGCTACAAACTCCCTGAAGAATAAAAGAGTTCATGCTCTATTTTAGTTCAGCTACCTTCACCTCATTAGGTCAGGCCCACATCGACTTCACAGGGTATTGAAATAATCATGATGACAGATATATATAGCCATCTGAGTAACTTCACTGTCTCAGGCACTTTGTGTATATACATTTCAATACACCCCACAACACTCAAGTTTGAGGAGACAGCCTCAGAGAGGTTAAATAATATGCCAAAGATCACTCAGCTAATGGGTGGCTGAGCTAGAGTCCCAAACCAGGTCAGCCTATTTCCAGTATTGACGTGATGCCTAAATAAATGTTCTACCAAATCAAAGGATAAACTCAATTTGAAGAATTTTAACAAGGCACTTGATTGAGGCCAGAACTTTAATTTGGAGGCCAAGTAATTTAGATTGGCTCTCTGCCTTGGTTAACCTAACCAGTCAATATTTATCTCCCTGAGTGCCTGTGGACTTGAAGTCTCAAAGAATATGCGCTTGGAAGAATCAGGAGGAAAAAAATTTATTTGGACAGGAAGTCTTCAAAAAACCATCCACAGCTCATTTGTTCTGTGGCTCTCCCTCAAAGCTAGATATGAATCAGGTTTTAAATCAATTTCTTCCTACCCAGAAATTTCAAAGAAAGAATGTTCAGAAGCCTATAGACAGGGAGAATAGGATGGGAACCTGGGGACTATGAAAGTTTTCAGGAGGTACGCAGACTTTGGAAGTTAGTAACCTCCAGTTGAAACCTAGCATTTCCCTCCATTGTAAATGCAGGCACCAAGCCACAGTAGCAACAGCAGCCCTCGTGACTCTGTCACTAGCAGAACTCACAGACACTTTGTGTCCCATACGGCTGTTTCAGATATCCAGATATCAGGGACTACTGAGTGCCCTCATCACTTTCACAATTTTGATAGTTTTATTAGACCTGCTGCTCGATCTTGATATTAATTATGCTAATTGATGAAGCAAATAGATTATTTATCACATATTTTTAAAAAAACATTTCATTTGACTTGTTTCCTTTGTAACCTGATGTAGTTTTACTTTGAATGCATCTAGAAGTATTATTCTTTTTTGGGGGGGAGGTAATTAGGTTTATTTATTCTTTTTTTTTTTTTAAATGGAGGTACCTGGGATTCAACCCAGGACCTCGCGCATGCTAAGCACTGCACTCCACCACTGAGCTATACCCTCCCTCACTAGAAATATTATTCTTAAAAGAGGTCCACAAACTTCACCAGATTGCCGAAGGAGTCTGTGGCACAGAAAAGGTTAAGAAATCCCACTAAGTTCTCAGTTTGGGTCCAAGTTGTGTTCCTTTGCATGGAGTTGCTGCAGTTCACCGTAAACATGGCTCACGCTTCAAACAACTGCCAAAACATGGGATTCAGTAGAACGTGGTTGCCTGGAAACTAAAGCCTAATTGGATTGTTACTTTTTTTTTAAAGGAAAGAAAGCATCAGTACCTATAGACGGATGGTACGTGGTTTCCTTGCTCCCACCTCCAAAGACCACACCCTCAACAGTCCTGCGCACCTCCCTCCTCGCCCGCCCCCCCCAAATCTCCAGCCCCCAGCAGAGGTCAGAGGGCACTCTCCCTCCCCTGCACTTCCTGACCTGTGTTCTTTTTCATTCCCTGGTCTGCTGCTTGTCGGGGTGGGGAGGATGGGAATCAGCATACTTTGAGATAGTCACAATAATCCTCAAATACTCATTAAGTACTTCCTACACACAGGACCATGTGCTAGGGGCTAATATATTACAATGAACCTCAGTTTCCTCTGAATTTCATAATAATATCTCACATTGTATTGCACTTCACAAAGTACTTTCATGCTTCCCATTTAATTCTCACACTTTCGAAGATGAGATTATAATAATCTCTGTCTTACAAATGAAGAAACTGAAGCTCAGAAAAGTGAGGAAACTTGGCCCTGGCAAGCAACAGAGCCGGGGCTTGGAAACAAACCCTTGGCACCTCCACTGCGGCTCTGCGGGTCTGGGGTCTCAGGTGCCTCAGTGCCCGATGGCCCCTCTGACCCACTGCTGGGGATCAGTTTCTCAGATGCCCCTGGTGATTGGGGCTGGGGGGTAAGTGTGGGCTATGGCCTCACTCAGGTCCTGGCTTCCCTAATTAGACCCATGAGTGTGGCCCAGGAGTTAGCGATGACGGTGACAGTTGCCATCTGGCAGCTTGGAGAAACTCATGTTCTCCCCTGTGCTACTGAGCATGGCTCCCTTCAGAGCCTCCAAGGAAATAAATCCTCAGAGTGTAGCATAAAGTCATTATCCTAGACCAGTGCCCGGGGTGGGGGCGTGCCTTTGGGTCTGGGAAAGAAATCCCAGCCTCTGGAAAGGTGCACAATGGTGGGAGAGCAGCCTTTCTCAGGCTCCACCCCAGCTGGGGACAGACATCCCCTAGGACCCTCCTTCAGTTCCTCAGTTAACTTCCTAACTGCAGTTTTCAATTCCCTGGATCTTGACTCCTAAATGGTTGGTTTCTGCAGACAGATTATCTCCACGCATTCTGTGCTAACATTGCTGGAGCAGAAGGTGGTGCATTCAATTATGTAGGAGGTTCATGGGGACTCCAGACCACGTGTCCACTGGTGAGGTGGAACTTGTACTCCAAGAGAGACAGGCCAGTGCCGTGGCTTCCCTGTGGAATCTAAGCCGCCACCTCCACACTCTTGTTGTGAACCCCATTCTGCAGTTTTCAGATTTGGATGTCAAGGAAAACAAAACCTTGTTTCTTCAGACTTCACAATTTCATGCCGGAAAAAAGACTGAGTGTTAATGATTTCATTTACAGACCTTGAGGAATGTTCCAATTACAAAGTGTTAAGTATTCTACTATGAAGAAGTAAAAATTAAAAAAATCTCTTTGTATTACCTTCCAAAAAAAAAAAAAGAAGTGCCATCTGAGAAACTGCAGTGTTTCTGCCTCAGAGATAGCAGGTGAGCAGTTCATACTTAATAGGTTCTGTCACAGAGACTTTCTCTGTTCTTACAAATGCTTTTGTAGGAGTGGAAAGCTAAAAATAGAGCTGAAGATAACATTCATAACCTAAAATATACATAATTTGGAAGGTCTGCGTGCTACAGTGATTTCAGGGGCTGGTAGGTTTCTGCTGAATACTAGCTGTTTTGATAATCCCCCTAAATTTTTCAGGTTACAATGCTGCTTAGCACATAGCACTGTGGCACATTTTGATTCGCATTATCTGGGTGATCTAAGGTGTGTGTGTGTGTGTGTGGCATTCTGAGGCAGGTAGCAGTTCTCGTTCATAGGTTATAAGCTGTTGAAAAATTTTAGTCTCTCCTAGTCATGAGAATGGATGTTTCTTACCTAAAAGGTTTTTTTTTAATTGAGGTACAGTCAGTTACAACGTGTCAATTTCTGGTGTACAGCATAATGTCCCAGTCATGCATACACATACATATATTCATTTTTATATTCTTTTTCACTATAGGCTACTACAGGATATTGAATACTGTTCTCTGTGCTGTACAGAAGAACCAAAAGTGTTCTGCGTACATTGAAGGGATAGGTACTTCCACATTTATAAGTATATATGTATGGAAAGCTTAGGAACAATGGTGTCCTCACCCCTGCATCAAAATGACATTCCAGGTCCTGCACCCACACACACCTGACCCGAACCTCTGTCCCAAGTCCAGTTTCTGGGTGAGACAATTTCTCTGATGCAGTTTGGGTTCTAGCCTCTGTGGCCTGGTTGGAGCGAGGTCATGGTGCAATTCTTAA